GACATTCTTGAAAATGAGCTGTAATATTTCAAGAGTTTTATCCTTGTAAGTAAAATGTTAATAAATAGATAAATCTTTAACACTTGCCAAGCCATGAGCTTGTATTAAGTAGAGATAAAGGAAGAGTATGATGTCCAAGTGGGCAGGACAAGATTATAAAACATTTTAATTTTTTCACTGCTATAGAGTTTAGACCAATCTGAAAAGGTATTCTTGGTCAAATGTTGAAGGATATCATAATTGGAATAAGTTTCCAGTATGGGTCTATTTAGAGACAAAGTAAGCCACCCATACCAGTGATGCAATGTGAAATACACATTAAAATTCTCTCTAGAATTACCTGGAGGAATAAAATGACTGGCTATGAACCATCCTTTTGCTTACACACTTACTAACATTAGAGGATAGAATATCAATTAGTCTTAAAGAGCCTATTTCAGAAAACAAAAGAATCCTCTTCTGTAGGATTACTGATGGATTATTTGAGACAAATTATTCAATAAATATGATAGTGTTGATTTTGAAAACATTTTGGTCTAAAAGTTATATCTGTCTTCACATATGATTTAAAAATGTTTCTGTAGTATTTGAATTGTGCATATTTGTAATAGTAACAAAAATAATATGTATAAGTACACTAAATAATTTTCCTATACTTGTCAACCTTTTGATACAGCTACTATTATAACCATAATAGAAACATTACTTACATGAAATTCCCATAGTAACCCCATGACACAATCTTATTTTTGTAATCAGTGTTTCAAAGATTATGAAACTGGTTCAGAATAATTGAATAACTTGTGGTAAAATTCATACTAAATAGAGAGATGAGCCTCCAGCTCAGAGTTTCCTGATCTCAGAATTACTGCTCTTAACCACAGGGCTTTCCACAATGTTATCCTATATTTAGTTTAAGTAGTACCATTTCCCAGGTTCATACTGATCACAACAACTATGGGTTACTACAACCACTGCTTTGTTTAGACAAACCACTGCTTATGTATTTCTCCTATATTCGTATGAACACACCATTCACCACCATGCTCTCTCTTTCAAAGAGACCAATATATGATCCAATTATTTTATTATTTCTTGGATGGTAGTCATAAATCAGTACACCTCAAGTTAAACCCTGTTTCCCACAGTTACAACATTGTTTGTTAAGACTACAATATTGGAAAGCCATTTTAAACTATAAAATATATTTTAAATGTTCTCCCAAAGAAATTGAGTAAAATGACACAAATAACTGCTTTTAAATATACTTTAGACCAATCATTTAATGTAATTGCTATGATAACATTTCTGCATAAGCTGGACTGGTTTAGACTGCTTAAAATAGAAGTTCTTTTAGGTTAGTTCTGATGACAGCCTGTTTCTGATGAAGCAAGTGTAAGCCTCTATTGCTCCAAAAAGCAGCAAATTTTGTTTAAAATCAGTATCATGAGTCTCACATTTATTTTTTTCTCATTCAGTGAGTGTCAATATGTTTCTCTGAGTGTATTTGAATGGTAAATGTTAGAGTAGAGGTTATTTTTGTGAAAACTTATTGAATGATCTCTTTGATGAAAATTAACAATTATCCAATGACTATCTTACATTAGCTTCTCATTGTTACAGGATTCTTAACTCACCTCACCATTTAATTATGCATTCTGCAAATATTTCTTGAGCATCTACTGGGTGCCAGGCACTATAATTGTGCTGGGTATACAAAAAATACAAGATTCGCCCTTCTCACTAATGTTATTTGGTTAAAGTCAGGCATTTGTAAACACAAATGGTTCATGACTTACAATGGTTCAACTTAAAATTTTTCAACTAAAGCTATGTTACAAAAGCTGTATGCATTCAGTAAAGAGTGTACTTGGAGTACCCATTCAACCATTGTGTTTTTTACTTTCAGTATAGTACTAAATAAATTACATGAGATGTTCAACACATTATTATAAAATATGCTGTGTTAGTTTTCTCCACTGTAGGATAATATAAGTGTTTTTCGTACTTTTAAGGTACACTAGGCTAAGCTATGACATTGGTGGGTTAGGTGTATTATTTTTCTTTTCAACCTGAGATATTTTCAATTTATGATGAGCTTATCATGACACAGCCCTCTCACAAGTTGAGGAACATGTACATAAAAGTTGGTAATTATTATGAAGAATTTTTCAGAGTTAGCATTTTATGGCTTTTTTCTACTCCTTTTTCTCAATGCTAAGATTACATACACCCTCTCATTTACAGAAGCACACTTCTTAATAACTCTTCTATTTAAGGAGAGCCAGAAGCTTTTCACCATTGTATACAAAATACAAAAAAAAACAAATCTGGGAGGGAGGGTGGAGAATGAGATAACTTTAATATCTGAAGAATGTCACTGGGTCAATTGCCTTTTGCAGTTCCAATGATTTAATGAAATTTTATCTGGTTCCAAGGACACCTTTACTATATCAAACTATTTAACTCTGTTTTAGACAATCTGTAGTTTAGTAATCACATATATCATCTTCATGTCATGGTAAAAGGTAATGGGAGCAAAACATGTACATTCATCAGCAATAATTATTAGAGCAAAGATTAATTGCTACCAATAATTAGTCAAGTTGATAATTAATGACCACAGCATACCTACTGCAGCATTAAAAAGGCAATTATGTTACTCACTGCTGTATCTCATCTGTATCATCTAGCAAATTGTAACTGTAAATGATAATACATATTGAGGACTTTATTGCTGCATAACTAATTGAAGATGTATTTTTAAGCCATGATTCACCGACTGATTTTATGCAAAGGATATAATGTAAATAAAGGATATAAATGTAAATTTATTGCCATAAATTTACTGTAATAAAATTGAAATATCCTTTCTTATATTAGAGAATGTATATAAATATATTTTTTAAAGTATAATAGATATAACTCTTCCATCTGGAATTCAGAATTACTAAGACTAGCAAGGGAATAATTTCATGGAATTTAATTATTTTTCATAAACCAAATATAGAAGCAAGTCACATTTGAAAGATGAGAACATTGAGAAAAGCAATAACAAAAAATAGTAAATAATAGAAATTGACTAAGATGTGAAATCTGAGCATATAAATAAGAACTATGTAATAATACTTACATCTCTTAAACCTTTACAAATGCGTATTTTACCTGGAAGAGAGAGGGGAGATACTAAGAAACTTTAAAAGGAAGAAGCATGATAAATATAAATTTTACTTGAAAATGCAGATATAAATAGGATAGGTAATGAACAAGTAGAAGAGAAGCTAACAGAGATGAAAAAGTAAAGATCACATTGTACTTCTTTATTCTGAAAAAACAAAGTCAAGAACAGACTTCTGGAATGAGGGAATAAGGACCTCTGTAAACTTGCTTTCCCACTAAAACTATGAAAATGTGGGATAAACAACTAAAATCGATCATTTCAGCACTCTGAAAATCACACAAAGCCACAGAGCAAACTGAACATCTATCCAAGAGAAGCTACTGAACGTCTGTAAGGCAGCATGATCTGTGACATTTTTTACTTGGTGCTAGTCCAATTTCCCGTCACCAGATCAGTGATGTGGTAGCCAAAAGTCAGAGCTCCAAAGAGGTCTGATCTCTTTAGAGCTCTGTTAAAAAAGCACCATTCCGAGAGAACAGTGAATATTTTGTCTGAAATCACAGCTCTGTGTAAAAGCTCTATTCCCATGGTGTTATGGTCAATTAATTTGATTCAGAGCTCAGCTCAGTATGGAAAAGAGGAGTCCCAACCCCATGGCATTACCAAAACAATGGCAATGAACTGGCAACATCACAGCTACTGAAGGCTGTGGTTGAGTTGGAGCAAACAAGTTGAGGAGGGATTTAAAAAAAAATCCCAGAGAATCAGTTTACCACAGAAAACTCTGAAATGCTGCAACAGATTCATGAGGATATATCTGAAAGGCTATGTTTAAGTCCAGGGAAGACATGGGAAAGGAGGTATTAGTCATTTGCATCTGACTCACCTTGCAGATGTGAATGAACAAAACCCTGCAGAAGCAAGAAGTGGAAGCTAAAGAAATACTGAAAACTGCCTGAAGTTTGGATGTGATTTATCACCCTTTGAAAGGTGGTAGATACACAAGAAAGGCATTTAAGAAAATCTTAAGGATCATTGACTGACTACTAAATTATACTGATCTAGATGTGACTCTTAGAAAGGCAAACTTAAAAATTATATATATATATATATATTATATAGATATTATATATATAAAATCTATATAATATGTATATACATACATATATATTTACATATATAATTATAAATATATATAAAGTATATCTGTAATTATATATAGACAGGTTGAGCATCTTTTATCTGAAATGCTTGGAACAAAAAGTGTTTTGGATTTTGAATTTGGAAGGATTTAGAAATACTTGCACTATCTATTCTGGTTCAGCATTTCCAATCCAGAAATCTGAAATACTCCAGTTAGCATTTTCCTTTCATATCATGTCAATGCACTAAAAAAGTTTCAGATTTTAGAGCATTTCAGATTTCAGATTTTTTCATTAGGACTACTCAACCTGTATAGTACAGTGCTTAGTAGCTGCACACTGAAAGGAATACAAAATCTACAGATTTAGTTCAGGAAGGCCACTAAACAAGTAGAAGCAAGAAAAACAATAAAAATTTTAAACACCTAAGCAAGAACAACAAATCTTGTATCAAATCTGATACCAGAACAACAAATCTGGTATCAGGGTTGAGGACTCTGATACCAGAATGACTACAATATATAATATTTGCAATTTTTAAAAATGATACATGCAAAGAAATAGGAAGGCATGACACATGTACAGCCAACAGAAAATGTCACTGAGGAGTACCAGATTTTGAACTTAGAAGACAATGTCTTAAATAACTTATTATAGATAAGTTCAAAGAATTAAGACCATGTGTAAAGCATTAAAGAAATGTAAAGACAATAATGCGTTACAGAATAAAAAAATCAATGATCACTTTGGCAGCACATATACTAACATTGGAATGATACAGAGTAGAGTAGCATGGCTCCTGCAAAAGAATGCAACACAAATTCGAGAAGCAGTCCATATTTTTAAAACAAGTTATTTTAAAAAAAATAGAGTGTGTGTATATGTATATATATATATATAATTTTTTATGTGTGTGTGTGTGTATATATATACTTTCTATTTTTTATTTAGTTCATGTATATATATATAAATTTTTTTATTTAGTTCACATATATATATATATATGTGAACTAAATAAAAATGTTTACATCTCACCAAAAAGAGAATATCAATAAAATATATCAGTAAATTTTGCTTCAAAAATGGAGATATAAATTCTGGACTTAGACCAATAACAAATTAAAAATATATGAGTGTCTCAACAACAGATTTGCACTGGCAGAAGAATGAATCAAAAAACTTGAAGACAGGTCAATAGAGATAATCCACTATGAGGAGCAGTATGGGAAAAGAAAAGAAAATGAGCAGAACCTCAGAGAATTATGGGACACCATTAAGTGTACCAAAATAAACATAATAGACGTCTCAGAGGAGATGAGACAGAGACATTGGCAAAAAGACTGGAAAATTTCAAAATTTATAACACATAATCTACACATCCAAAACCAATAAACTCCACATAGAACAGATTCAAAGGTCCATGGCTAGATTGGTCAGAGTCAAATATCATTTTTTTCCTTGAAAACATCAAGAGAAAATTTAATTATCTGGATCTTCAATAAGAATAATACCTGACTTCTCATGTAAAACTATGGATGTCAGAAGACAGTGGGTAACATTTCCCAAATGTTGAAATAAAAACACTGTTAACTGAGAATTCAGCTAAACTCTCCTTCATAAATGAATATAAAATTAAGGCATTCCCAGGATTTTTAAAAAGAGGAAAGGAGATTAGAAGATCTGCTCTACCAAAAAGTTTTAAAAAGGAGTCATTCAGGCTGAGAGGACACTTGAAACCTCATGAATTAATAAAGAGCACTAGTTAAGTATACTACGTAAGTAAATATAAAACACAGTATGAACATATTTGTTCATAACTGTAATAGTTTGTTCTCACATTGCTATAAAGAATTACCTGAGGCTAGGTAGTTTATAATGAAAAGAGGTCTTATATCACAGTTCCAAGGCTGCACAGGAAGCACAGCTGGGAAGGCCTTAGGAAACTCATGGCAGAAAGTGAAGAAGGCACAACATACGTGGCTGGATCAGAAGAAAGAGAGAGTGAAGGGGAGAATTAGATCTAAAAAAAAAAAAATGAGATTGAATTGGAAAATTTTGTGATCCATGAACTAAGGCCCTAGCCCAAAAAGCTCCTTTGATTAATATTATGAAATGGTTAAAAATGTAACCCAAGACCTTCACAAATTCTTACAAAATGAGAAAAAGACAAAGTTTTCCAAGGTGTTCTATAAGGTCAGTATTACCCTGATTAAAAACAAAAACAAAAATGCAAGCAGGGACATCACAAGAAAACTTCAGACCAATATCCTTTGTAAATATAAATGTAAGCCCTCAACAAAATATCAGCCAAAAAAACACAATAAGATAATAAATATAACTATACACTATGACCAAGTGTAATTTATCCCAGGAATACAATGTTGGATTAATATCTGAAAATCAATATACTGCAACATATTTATAGACTAAAAGACAAAAATGCTCATATCAATAGATGCAATGTTTGGCAAAATTGAACACTCTTTAAAGGTAAAAATATTCTCCTAGTATGAATACATAGAAACTCCCTCCACTTTATAAAGAGGATACATGAAACTGCACATATGACATTATTCTTAATGGAGAAAAAATGGGTGTTTTCTCTGTAAGATCAGAAACAACAGAAAGGTGTCCACTCTTGCCACATTTATTCAACTATGTACTGGATGTTTTAGGTGGTGCAATTAGGAAAGGAAAAAAGACAAAGTAAAACTCTCTATTTGCAAATTATGTAAACATATATATATATATATAAATTCTAACGCATTCACTGCAAACTGTAAAACTAATAAATGAATCCAGCAATGTGGCAGGACATAAGATTAATATGCAAAAATTGTCTTACTATACAGCAGCAATAAAAACAAAAATTAAGAAAGCAAGTTTATTTAAATTGCATTAAAATAATGTGGCGAAATAATACATTTAACAATGCAAAATGTACACTGATAACTATAAAATATTTTTAAAATAAAAGTTATAAATGGAAAGATATCACGCATTAATGGATTAGAAGACTTAATGTTGTTTATATGAAAATGCTTCCCAAATTGATCAACAGATTTAACACAATCCATATTCAACTCCAAGTTGCCATTATATTGTTTCCAGAAATTGACGGGCTCATTTTGAAATAGAAGTGGAAATTTCCTTGCATGGAAGTGCAGGGATCCCAATGACAGCCAAAATTATCTTTGGAAAAACAGAATAGAATTGGAGAGCTTATACTTCTCAGTTTTAAAACTTAATACGATTATCAGTTATCAAGCTATAGTTAACAAAGCAGTATGTTATTGGCATGAGGATAGGCACATAGAATAGCAGTGAGCTCAGAAATGAATCCTTACATTTTTTGATCAATTGATTTTCAGCAAGACAATTCACTGGGGAAGAATTTTCATTTCAACAAATGATTCTGTGTCAACAGGATACCCATATTGCAATATGATGGGTTTGGCCCCCGTCTTATACACAAAAATCTAACTTGGTGATAGATAAAAATGTAAGCTAAAATTATAGAATTAGAAAGAGAAAGTTAAATCTTTCTGACCTTAAGCTAGATGAAACATTCTTGTATATGGCACCCAATGCACAAGTGGTAAAAGAAAAAGATAAATCATCTTGTTCAAACTTAAAACTTGTATGCTTCAAGGGGCAACATTAAGAAAGTGAGAAGATGTACAGAATGGGAGAAATTATTTGTAAATCATATATCTGACAAGGGACCCATATCCAGAATATGTAAGAACTTTGGTGACTCAATAATTATAGATAGATAACCCAACTGAAAAATGAGAAAAATACTTGAACACACATTTCCCTAAAGAAGATATACAAATGGCAAATTGATACATGAAAAGATCCCCAACAACAGTCATAGATTCAAATGAAAACCACAATGACATACAATTTCATGTCCACTGTGATGGCTATAATTACAGAGACAAAATAATGAGTGTTGATGAGAATTTAGAGAAATAAAACTTTTATATACTGCTGATGAGAATGTAAAATGTTCTGTTTTAGAAAACAGTAGGGCAGCGCCTCAAAATGTTAATGAGTTACAATGCAACATTGTGATTCCACTGACAGGCATATACCAAAGAGAAATTAAAACATATGTTCATATACAAACTAGTGCACAAAAGAGGAAATAACATAAATATCAAGGAATAGATTTTAAAAATACAGTGTATCCATACAATGAAATGTCACTCAACAATGAAATAAATTACTGATGCCTGCTCCAGCACGGATGAATCTTGAAAACATGATCATACTTGAAAGAATCCAGTCACAAAAGACCACTTATTATAAGATTCTATTTACATGAACTGTCCAGAATATTGGATAAGGAGGGTAGATTTGATGTCTGAGCTGACAGTTGGAGGAGGGGATGGGAATGGGGAGTGGCTCTAATAAGTGGATGATTTTGTTTTGCCATGAAGGAAACAATCCAAAATTAAATTTTGTTGATGGTCGTGCAACTCCATGAATGTATAAAAAAATCAGGGAGCTATATACTTTAAATTGCCTAATTTTATAATGTATGAATATCTCAATACTGTTCTTTAAAAAATAACCACCAGCATCCCCTCCAAAAAATGGAAGAAAAATACAGTATAAAAACTCAGAGGAATAATGTTTAAATCCTCAATGTTTTTTGTAATAGAATAAATGCATAATAGTGTCATAGACTCTGCTTCAGTATAAAAGATCCTATGATTTCCCCTTAGTCCAATTCATCAATGTCACTTAAAGTATTTATAGGGAAAAATAGACAGAAATCATGTCACTAAGAGTGTCAATTACAGTAGGGATTTGACCTCAGGAGGAAGTTTATTTGGTGTTTGGTATTTTTAGAAAAGTATTTCATGCAAGAAAACTCTGATTGCTTTGGTGTATTGCATGTTGCTAAAATGCTGAGTGGTGAAGTTTTCATACCCATGGCTTGCTCTTTTAAAAAATAAATAGACCCAAATTTCCATTTCCATCACCCTTGTGATGGGAGGGAGCCCTCTTGACAATTTGATTGAGTTCAGGACCATAAAGGACAAAGGAAAGAAAACCTGAAAACTGAAAGCCTTTTAGCTTCTGAGGATCATTTTCTATTTAAGTTCAGTATTGAGTCTCTAGAAATTGCAGTAAGCCACCAGCGATCCATTCAGAATGGGCGGGCATTGGCCTTAGTATGCAAGGATGATTTCCACTTCAATTTCGTTTCCTGGGTACATTGGAATGCTGCAAGTCGAGCCTATGATAAATTCATCAGCTTTTATAGTGTTTCCAGAGAGTTTTCAAAGAACAGTGAGGTCAAGTTGAAAGTAGCCTTACAGTGAGAAATACAAGCAGGACAAATAGGAGGGTGTGTAGATATAATCTGAATATAAAATCAACTGATTTGTATTCCCTGATTATCTTATTTGCTCTCTCACTTCACTTTTGCATCAACTTTTGAACTAATTCTGTTAAGTTCTTCCTCAAATAAAAGATTAATAAATCCATTCCATTTTTATTAACCTAAAGGACACTAAATCTTTTCTCCAACATTGCAATGATAATATACACCTGGGATTAATTCAACATAGTACTTGATACATCCTGAAAATAACTGGGTTACAGAATTTCTACAGAGTTCAATTCTACATGCAGATCATTTCTGTGGTGGTGTACAATAAGGGATGCTTCTAATCCTCAGTGGAACCATGCACAAAAGGGAAAACTGTTTATGGTCACCAGAAGTGACCCCATCTATTAATGATGATGAAAATAGCGAACAATTATTGGACATTTACTGTATGTCACAGCTTGTCATAAGTTCTTTAAGTTAATACTTGCAATAAC